ATTATATTATCTACTGTAAAATATGGTTCTTCAATGCATTCGTAACTTATTCGAATTCATAATTTACAATTTTATATTATAATCTTATTTATTTTTTTTTAACAAAAAAGACCTGTCACGACCCATTTTTATAGATTACGCGACCCAAGATTGGGTAGCGACCCACCGGTTGAATACCACCGGTTTAGACTTCATAATACCTTGCTAATTTTTTATTATAGTTTGTGCATATTTTATTGTTCTTTGCAGATGTTATGTTTATGTACCTTCAATAATCTATTGTAACTTGTAATATATATGGACTATATTGTTTACAATTGACATAAGTATGCATCTGAACAAAAATTATAATTATTAAGATATGATCACTGATAATTACAATTTTTTTATTTCCTACAGAAATATGTAGGTATTATTTCTATCATAAAAATTTCGAAAAATAAGCAGTGACGGATCTTGAACTCTTGGGGCCCGGGTGTAAAAAAAATGTTGGTGGCCCTAATTTAAAAATGTTATAAAATATACTATATATTAGAAAATGTTCAATACATCTATTTTTGGATTCAGTCTCACTTCGCGAAATGCAACACGGCGTAGATGTTTACGTTAATGTGTATCGGCGAACACGATAATGTGTATGAAAAATAAAACAAATTAATCAATCAAATATTCACAATTATAATTCACCACTGATGGGAATAAATTAAATATACTTTCAAAGTAAAATTAATTAAATACACCATTTGAAAAAACAAAATATACATTTTACCAAGTACCAATTTTATTTTATAGTACTCGATATCCATAATATCGATTATCGGGGACCCCAAACATTTCAAAGAGTCGAGGCCCCAGTGCAATTCACCGCTTGCACCGGCGGTTTATCCGGCACTGAAAATAAGATGAATATAAAATATAAATCCGTATTCAATTACATGTTACATAGCCACATAGGCAAGTATAGTTAAGTAATATATTATATTTGGAAATTTGGAATAGAATAAAGTTAAAATTCTGTAACCATAAGGTGAAATGTGCACGCCGGAACAATACATCGATGCCCTGGCATGTTGAAAAATTAAATAGGTACTATTTATTTATTGTGTAAAATCTAATTAATAGACAATATGTCACTATGTCAGTATCAATATAGGTACCTACCTACTCCAACATTTGAACACTTCAAAAGTCAATAAGCAATAATGTTCATCATTAGACATTACTACATTAGTACATTACATAGTCTTCGTAACTCGTAACCAATCTAGCCCGCTATATTATATTATATACATCCGGCGTCACTAAATTCAAACTACACTGATAGGCGACACTAAAGAATTGTTATTTAACACGAGCGATATAGGTAGGAACGTGCATCGGGGTGATCGTGATATCTTGATTGTAATTTGAGTTATCAATTATCATATTATTTACATTATTAACACTAATATTATTATGAAAATGTAGTTTTTAAAATATCATCAATCATTTTAGTATTGTCTATTGCAGGGGTCACCAACTAATTTTTGCCAAACTTCCCAAGGTCCAAAACACTTTTAAATACCCAATGACTTTTTTCACACAATAACAATTAATAACAATCATACTAAACGAAGGGTTCAGTGCAACAATCAGACAAATCGCTTTATTATTTCTAAAGATATCTCAAAAAGAATTATTTCCCGCCCACAAAGTTGAATGAGATATAGAATTTTGTTTTGCTTCTCCTGAACAATTGATAAAATGTGACTTGTCTGGTTGTTCCATTGAACTTTATATAGTTCAATGGGTTGTTCAGGTTGTTGCACTACTGAACGTAGGTACTTTGGAAATTCTTAGATATCGTTTTGTTGACATACGATAACGCAGTGGCTCGAGCGTCCAACGCTATTAACATGCCTATCAGTCAACTTATCAGTATTATTGTTTGCTTCTATGGGCTTTCAACGTACCCACAGATATAAAATACTTATATCTGTGAACGGTGAAGGAGACATGTATACAGTATACATATAATATATATGTATACTCACAATATCGGAAAATATTTGTATTCGTCATTTTATTATAAAAATATAGGTAATGTAAAAACTATGTGATACAATATTTTATGAATACATTTAAAAATTACAAACCTCCCTACCACTACTGTTCTATGCTACCACATTGCAATAAATTATTTTTTTTGTAACCGTGACCGGCGCATGGATGATTAGATTTATGTGATTAGATTAGATAGGTACCATATAAATTAGGAATTCGCGCAGAAATCTGTTATTTAGATTGCCGATTATTTACGTACACGGAGGCCGTCCCGCGCCGGCGCGGTCCTCTGAATAAAAAATATAATCAATAATTTCGGGTCCGCGATAGAGGCCGCTGCAGGTGGCTGTACCAGGCTGCAAGGAACCCCATCGCTTTGGTAACGATCGTCTCCCGGCGGGGCGCGGGCGTGTCCGTCCTGCGAATCGATCGCAAACTATTATATTAGCAGCACCCTCTATCTCGACCGACCCACTGTCACTTGTTCGTAATTTGCAGACACGGCTGGTCTATAGATTACCTACCTGGCTCGTGGGCGTCAGACATCAACTAAGGTGGACGAAATAATAAAAAGTATGTAAATATATTATACTCTCATATAATGTAGTCTTAAAATTACGAGGAGATTAGATACAAAATAAATAGAATTCACTAATATAAAATATATCAAGTATAGTAAGGGCCGTTCTTACAATGTCCGGTAAAGTGTCGGTTAACTTTAACCGGACATTGTAAGAACGGCCCTAAATGTACAAAAATGATATTAACATAACAATAGTTTTACGCTTAAATACTTATTTTATACAAACAATGGATGAAAATGTGTTAGTTTGAATATTAATATGTTGATCTTTCAGGGGGTACCCAGTTTGAAATTTAATTTTTAAGTCTTAAGAGAATCACAATTTTTAATGTTTATAGCAGGTTGTATAATATATATTTTTGTACCTTTGCAGGTACAAGAAAGTGGACTGTGTTAGTTTTCTATCCATAAAAGGTAAACATTGATATTTAAAAACTGTTCAGAATTATAATCTTATTTTATATTTGAAATAATAATATTTTTGACACCTACTGAGGCTTTGTAAAATAATTGTTTTTATTGGTTAAACGTTTAATGTATTAGGTAAAAAAATTTTCTGTGTGGTAAATTTGGTCGTTTTTAAAGATAACTTTTAATATTATGTAGTTAAAGATAGCCACTCTTTATAGTTAATGGATAACAAGAGTGATTTCATTATAATCTTTACTATGTATGCATTATTTGTGTACATAAATGTCCATAGTATATACCTAATACAGACATATGTGATTGTATATAGGTATTGTTACTTATGTCCAGGGGTTAAAGTGGGGGGGATGCAGGGGGACTCAGTCCCCCTACCTCTAATGGTGGTTAAAAAGCGTCCCCTTTAAAAAATCATTCTTAAAGTACGTCGGAACGCTCCAATTATAACCAATTATATCAATATTCAATATAATTCAGAATTCCGTTGAGATTAAAACCGTGATTACCACGGACTAAGATATACAGGACTGGACACTACAAGGTTGGAGGGTGTGATTGGTGAAATGTAGTATTATTCATAAAATAAATTAAAAATTTGACCATTATTCATGATTCAATGTGGGATGAGTATGTTACACAATCATTGTTTATAAATTACATGTACCCACTATGACTATATGTATATTATGCATTAGACATTTAGACATAATACATAAAACGATATATGAATCGCTTAAAACTATATGGAGACGTTAGTCCCCCCTGGGATTTTTTTCCACTTTAAGCCCTGCTTATGTCTCTATCTAGGTACCTACATAAACTGTAAGATACATATTTATGATAAACACTACACCCCTTCCCATTTTAGGATGGCCATGTCTATGTTTAAGTGTTATGGTTTTTAAAACAACAGCGCATAGTGAGAATAGGGAAATCCCGGTCACCTAAGCAAGAATTGTTATATCTCAGGTTCTTAGAGTCTACATGTTATACCACTTCAATAAATGGATTTGTGTATATATATATATATTGACTGCATTATGTCAATGTTTCGGGTTTTTAAAACATACCTAAGCTAATATTTTTTATTTAAAAAAAAAATGCAAATGACCAGTATTCCCCCTGGGGTTGTGTTGGGTATGTTGGAAAATTATAGAAATAATAATATGACACTAAATGCTTCTTCAGAAAATTTGTTGATTGCATACATGAATATCTGATATAATTAATAATATATTATAATATAATATAGTTTTAATCTGTAAATCGACTACATAACTATATAATTACTTAAGGTCCTAAGTAAAAGACCTAGTCGTTCACCGAATAATTATAAACATTATTTTTGGCTATATTTATTGTAGGTAATTATTTGGTACCTATCATGCCATATCTGTATTTCTTAATTATTAAAGAAAAATATTTAATAGAAAAAAAATATATATATATACCTAATTCATATTATATTAAATCGGTTAAAAGAAGTTAATTCGTTTTTAAATTCTGAACGATGAATGGAATGTATTGTGATTTTACAATGATGTGGGTATATTTTTATTTTTGTGTCTGAACAATAAAATACCTATACTTTCAAATATGCTTATTGTCATTGATTATAGGTACATAGTATAATAAAATACTATACTATTATACTATGTATAATCAATGATATTACTAATTACTATTTAACATAAAAATTTTAACATTTAATAAACTATTCACTTTTATTCTTATAAAAGCTTCTACCTACCGATAATTTTACTATTGAACGATTACTAAGTCTTAAATAAGTTAAATCTCTTTTAATGTCATATTAAGTAGGTATGCAATTTACATTTCCAGAAAAATTGAGGAATCAACAAATTATTTTGTTTTATTCGTAAACACCTATAATCTGTATCTTTTATTTGATTTTTTTCACTAGCTACATTGAAAAAATTCAACAAATATGTTATTAAGACCAGGAACAGTAAACTTTAAGGAAAAGTGGAAATGCTTAGAAGAGACTGTTCAAAGTATCTTAAAACTAGACACAATTCCTAGGGATGTGTGGCATGCACGTTTCAATGATATTTATTATATGTGCGGAGCCTTCCCAGAGCCTCACGATGATAAACTTTATGAATCAACAAAGTTATTACTTGAGACCCATGTATCTCAACTGTTGACGCTTATTCAAACCGAAGGTACTCAGAATCAGTTACAAAATTATTGTACATATTGGCAAAAGTATATTAAAGGTATAACACTTCTAGATTCTCTATATCAGTATGTACTTTTTTATCTAACATTATATTATAGAAAAGGATGTATGAGATACTTATAAAATGCATTTCTAGGTACTTTAATAATACAAATCGTGCATATGCTGAAACACGGTCTTTGCATAGGAGAGAATCAGATGAGCCTACAATGATGATGATTAGAGAACTGGGACTTGATGTATGGAATCGTATTATAATTGTACCACTGAAAGACAGTATGCCCAAATTATTATTGGATGAATTTGACAAGCCAAGATATAAATTATCCATAACCACACCTTTAGATACCGTTGCAATTATTCTTAAATCATTTATTGAAGTCCTGGAGTTCAATAAAAAATATCCACTTGAAGTAAGTATTTATATTTATTTGTCATAAAATAAGAAATTAGTTACAAAGTATAATTCGAATTAACATTGTTTCTTTATTTTTCAGTTATACCAAAGTTATTTCGAGCAACCTTTTTTGGAGCGATCTAGTGAATACTTTGAACGAGAATCAAAAAAATTGTCCGAAGAATTGACTGTGTCTGAGTATATAGCTAGAGTATTGGTAATAATGAAAGAAGAAGAAATAAGAGCAAACAAATATCTTCATGAAAGGTAAGTTTTCAAAATATATACATATACTATAATGACACAAATAATAGTTTATATTTTATTTCACAGCACTTATAACAAACTGCAATCAAAGTTTTGTCAAATTGTAGTTGTTGATAATTTAAGTTTTTTACATGGAGAGTCTGAAGCTATGATAAGAGAAGAGCGGCTTAATGACATTCGCAATATTTATTTACTTCTATGCAATGTTAAAGATGGATTCGGCTCATTAGGTGACGTTTTCAAAGAGCTCATATTAAAACAGGGAAATAAGGTTCTTGAATCTTTAAACAAAAATCAAGTATGTATTAAATAATTATTTTTAACTATGATCTACAATAATATATCATATATTTATATATTTATGCTCATATATAGATATATGTTCATTTTGTTGAGGATATATTGGAGCTACATAAAAAATACAAATCTATAGTCGCAGATGTGTTCAATAATGATTTTTACTTCAGTGAAGCTCTCGATACAGCATTTACAATTATTGTAAACTATAAATTAGAAGAAAACCAACCATCGAAGGCCCCAGAATATTTATCAAAATACTGCGACAAGTTACTGAAAAAATCATGTAAAGGCTTAAGTGAAGCTGAAATTGAACACAAACTATTACAGTCTATTACAATATTTAAGTATATAGATGATAAAGATATATTCCAGAACATCTATCAAATGCATCTGGCCAAACGGTTAATACTTCGACAAAGCCAGTCCATAGTCGGAGAAGAAGGATTGATCAACAACTTGAAAGTAAATCAATCAAATGTTTTAAGTACCTATGTAGGTATTACCTATGTTAATTATAATTTTTATTTTTAGCAAGTTTGTGGTTACGAGTTTTCAAATAAATTACATTGTATGTTTACTGATATCAGTGTATCAGAAGAACTAAACATACAATTTCAGAAGGAATTTCTTAAAACCACCAAAAATGAATTGAATTTGTCTTTTTCTGCAAATATATTGCAAACTGGAGCTTGGCCTATAATAGTATCAACCAAATCATTTGTTATTCCTGAACAATTGTTAAATTATTCAAAAAATGTAAATATTTAAATGTATATGTATAGTACATTATTAATATCTGTTATTACAATCAAATTCATTGTTATTAGTTTGAAGCTTTTTATAAAGAAAAATTTGTTGGACGGAAATTAACATGGCTTCATCACCAATCTCAGGGTATTTTTATTTTGTTGAAGATATTATTAAATCCTTATTGTTCATTAAAATGTATTTATGTATTGAATCAATAGGCGAGTTGAAATTGAATTATTTACCAAAAATGTATATAGTGACACTACATATGTTTCAAATGTCGATCTTGTTACTGTTTGAAAAATTTGATACATTGAAATATTCTGAAATTAATGAGATACTTCAATTAAGTGATGATCATTTTCAAAAACAGATTAATAGCTTAGTAGATTGTAAATTGTTATTGCTTGATGGTGATGTAAGTAAACTGATTAAACTGGTTCAATTAGCTTTTAAATTTTTAACAATACTATTTATTCATTATTTGAAGAATTTAAAATTGAACATGGACTTCAGCAATAAACGTACAAAATTGTGTATAACATCAGCTGTCCTAAAAGATATACCGCAAGAGATTGAACAGTCTATTAATTCTGTTGAAATTGATCGTGAAGGATTTTTACAGGCTACTATAATTCGAATAATGAAAATGCGTAAAACATTGGGGCATAATAAGCTTGTGATTGAGGCAAGTAAAATATAAGAAAATATGTAATATAATAGAAAACATCATATTAACAATATGTATCTATTATGTTTTAGATAATTTCCCAAACAAAATCATTTTTGCCATCCACTGGGTTCATAAATAGATCCATCAAGATATTAATTGATAAAGGATATCTAGAATGCAGCCCAAATTTACCTGTTGAGTACAATTATGTTGCTTAAAATTTTTCAAATAAGCAATAACATAGGTACCAATATTAACTTAATTATCAACTCATTACTAGAAATAATACCATACTTTTTGGTTTAAAATGATTTTTAATTGTAGCTACCTAACCTAAATAAGAGTATTTATGTTTGTTCTTGTAAACTATATATTGCTTGTCTAACTCTACTTATTATTATAATCCTTTTAACACAGTAGATAATTTAGGTAATTTAATGTCTTAGGTTTTAAATTAGTTATCAGAAAGTGTGATTTTTGTTGTTGTATTGTAGCTTACCAAATTGAAAATTCCTGTGAATAGAGATAGAATATTGACGACCTAAATAACACACAACAATTCACAAAAAAATTCAAAAATACTCTTATAACTACAAAAAGGAACATAAAAAATGACCAATTAATCTACTTAAATAAGTGAAAAAAATGTAATTAAAAAATAAGAATTATAATTATTAGGTATATTGGTGTGATAATGGATGTCAGAGTAATTTAAAATATGCATTTTAAAATAAATTTAAAAATAAAATAGAAATAAAAAAATGTATTGATACAACAAAAACCCACGTATCTAAAATTTGAGAAAAATTCCCCACATTGTACAAAAACCAAAAAAATGCGTTATGAACAAAACAATCTATATATATCTAGCTAAAATTGAATAAAAATGCAAAATAAAATTAGTATATTCTTAATCAAGGGAGTACGAAACAAATTTTAAACTAAGATAGCATTTTAGAGGATTAAAGAAAAAAATCTACCAAAGTCATCAACTTCCTATCTCTATACCTATGAACTATACAGTGAAACCTGAATAACTCGAATCGGTTGGGGGCAAAAAATAAATTGGAGTTATCGAAAATTTGAGTTATAGAAACAATTGTGTGTACTTATTGAAATGCAATTGCGAAGATATTCCTTTGAGTTATCGACAATTTGACTTATAGATGTTCAAGTTATCGAGGTTTCACTGTATATTCATAATTATTGTGGTTATGAATCAGTGTTGATTAAGTTACTTTTAAAATTAAGTTACTTTACTCGTTACTTAGAGACAAATGTAATAAAGTTCCTTTACTTGTTACTCAAATACAGTTCTAATAAAATTACTTTACTCGTTTCTCAAGTAAAATTTTAATGAAATTACTTTACGGAATAACAGCTTTTAATCGTTTTATTAAATATTATATGAAAATAAAATCATAATAATCATTTATAAATACCATTTATTTTAAATGGACAAATAGCTATAATAATTTATAACGTTCAAATGTAAACATTTTGATTTATCATTTATCAGTATGTACCTATCAGAGAAATAATGTTATATTCTAATCATGTAAATTATAAGTATAGTAATACAACTAATAACTAATAAGTATTATAAAATGTTTATTAGTACAAAAGTTATTTAATTTAGAATTCTTTAGAGCAGAGTTTCTCAATCTGTGGTACGAGTATCACAGTGGTCTGCATAATGTTCATTAATGGTATACGGAGAAAATCTCCCTTAAAAAAAAAAAAAATAGAATAATCAATGGATCATTAGGCATATTAAACAATATTTGGTTTATTTGATATTAAATAATAAATATAAATAATTATTGTATACATTTAATTTTCTTTTTGTGCATTTAATGCTTGTCATAACTTAGTAGTTATAAAATAAAATACAGTTCCATACATCATGTAAAATAACATAAATTTTTTGTGTAAAGAAATAGGTTATTTGGTCAAGTAGTAGGTACATGAAAATTGTTAAGCTGTGTAAGTGGTACCTACTACACAAATATAAAAAGGTTGAGAATCGCTGATTTAAAGTATTAAAAATAAAATATAGGTAACGATAATAAAGAAAAATAAATTACATACCTATACTACATTTATATGACTACTAAGTACTAGCTAAGTGTTAATAGTGTATAAGTGGCAATAGTTTATAGGAATTAATAGTTAGTAAGGACGTATAAAAATTGAATAACAATATCTAGTCCTCAATAGATATTCATAGCTTATAGGAAACGTTCTTTGTATATTATATTGCTATACTTGATACTTGCTTACCGCGTTATAAACATATTTTTCAGTATTATTTTATTTTCAATTCGGAATAGGTAGGTAGGTACCTACCTACTAAACAACTCAAAACTAAGATACCAAAACCTGTTGTACTATAGAAATTACTTATTAAAAGTAATTATCATTACTTAATAATTAATCTAAAGAAATTACTTAACCCGTTACAAACAAATTATTTTCGATATGTCACTGCCAAACTGATGGTAAATTGATAAACAAATTTACTTAACTACCTACCTTTTTAATAGCTGTGTATTAAATACCTAAGTACCTATATTATTATCTATTACTATTTAAAAAATGTTAAAAATTCATTGAATATGTTGTTGATATACAATAATACAATACCTATGTGTGTGTTTATGATTTATAATGTTTGTGAAAATAATTGTGTGTACTTTATATTGCATTATATATACCTTTTCAGCTGCTCATTTCAATTTTATTCATTCCTGTGAAAATACCTCTTAAAAATTACAAGAAACTATAAATATGGTTGTTTTTAGGGTTCCGTACCTCAAAAGAAAAAAACGGAACCCTTATAGGATCACTTTGTTGTCCGTCCGTCCATCCGTCCGTCTGTCAAGACCGTTTTTCTCAGGAACGCGTGGAGGTATCAAACTGAAATTTCTATATGATACTCAGGTCTACTGTCTCTGGAAGCTGTAGAAAAATCAACCTTCTAAGCCAACGCAATCAAAAGATACAGCCATTTAGGCTCAAATTTCCGCAAATTTTCGAAACTCGCACGGGAATCAAAACCTACAGGGTACTTCCCGTGAACTTAGAATCTTGAAATTTCGTACGAAGTCACGTCTTATAGTACAGATATAGGAAAAATTATGAAAACCATAAATTTTTAGTTTCATCATATAAAAATAAAATATTTTTGACAATTTTGAAAATTTCAAAGTTACTACTTCTTATCTCATGAACGCGTTGAGGTATTAAATTAAAATTCATATTGAATACTTAAGACTATAATACATTAATACCTTTAAACTGTAACAAAATCATGTTATAAATTTCATTTTGCAATAAAAATACCATAACTATGACTCGATTGTCGTGTTGGTTGAACTTTTACTTATATACCTACAGGTTTGTACGGAACCCTCGGTGCGCGAGTCCAACTCGCACTTGACCGGTATTTTTATTATAGTTAATAACCTGGCATGTGAAATTAATTATGAGCTTGTAAACAGTGATTAATATCATATGAAAAAAATCGGAATTCACATTTAAAATGCCGCCCTTGAAGACTATAATAACTAAGTATTAAAATATAGGCACCTATTGCGTTGAAAAAAGTAGTCATTGTGTGCTATGACATGAGATAATAACATAATTTTAACAGGTTTAATTGAACATATAATTTAACATACGCTTAGTTTTATATTTTGGTATGTTTAGATTTTAGAACAAATAATATACTAATATAGCCACAAAACTGGTTTTCACAGATAAAATCAATGTCATTTCCAATATTTTGCTGTCATAATTTTTAGATTCTGAGTGGAACGATGAATGTATTGATTTTATAATGATGTGTGTTTTTTTGTGTGTGTGTGTGTGTGTGTGTGTGTGTGTACACGATTAGTAGTCTAGTCGAAATAATGCTTTGATTTTCAACTTCAGTATCTTGTCCGATGAGAAAGTGAATCTAGTTGGTACTTTTGGGAGGTCAAAATTTTAAATTCCCAATATTTTTCAAAAGCACCCTGAAAAACAAAATAAAAATTAAGGAAAAACAGGAATTTTTAAGCAAAATCGGTTTTCCACAAAATCGATTTTGGTTTTTGGTGTAACTCTAAAACAAATGACCGTAGATACATGACATTTCCACTGGTTGTTTATTTTTGCATTTTCTATACACGATGAAATTTTCAAAATATTTTGATTTATTTTGAACTGTTTATGGACATTTTCAGTTTCCAATTTTATTAATTTTTTTTTTATGAATATCAATAAAAATTTATTTGTTGAGTAAAAATACTTAAAAATTTAATACAAGGCTCCTACTATATAGTTTCAAAGGAAGATGAAAAATATTAAAAATCCTTACTCACAGTTTTTTTTTTATAAGCATTTAAAGTTCAAAAAGCAGGTAAGAGGATGTCGCTCTGCTGTACAGTTGTAGATTACAAGTGCGTCAATGTATAATGGATTGTATTAAACTTGAATTCAATGATATTTTATCATTGTATAAGAAAAACGATTCTGAGCGGAAACGGTTTGTCAGTCTAGATATTTTATATTGTCATTAATTATTATATCATGTAACTTTGATAAGATTTAAAAAAAATACCTTTTTTGTATCTTTTATTAAGTTTGAAGTTATAGTTATGACTTATGACTTATGAATTTCATATTCTATATATCATACGGTGCTAAAATTCAATTTAAAAAAAAATCCCTAAAATCCACCACTGATGCACTAACAATATTCACTTTCCCATCGAACAAGATACTGAAGTTGAAAATCGAAGCATTATTTCGACTACTTATCGTGTACACGACAAAAAAATTTAAAAAAATGTATACCATTCAAATAATTCAAAATAAAAATTATTTAAAAAAGTATTTGAATACTTTTACTCAAATACTTTACAACACTGACTACAAGTACCTACCTATGTTGGTACATATTATGACCTTAGAGAAAAAAAATCCGTAAATATATACTCTTTATCGTTTCAAAATAATAAATTATATAATATATTCATTATAATATTAATACCCAGCATATAAGTGAAATCAAAATTCTTTGTGTGATTAAATAATGTTTGTGAAAACCCAAAACCTCGTGTCGAAGTAAAAAATGAACACTCCAATTAAACGAAAGACGATGGTGAAAATAGAAAATGTTAGACATAAAACACACAGTGGAAAGTCTTTTTGTTCCAAATCTACTAGAATA